GCGGCGGCGGCGGCGGCGGCAAAGATGCCGGATCGCGCCAGCTACAACAACGGCAGCAGCGGCGATGAGGTGGGCGCCAACGCCGACGACATCTGCCGCGATTTCCTCCGCAACGTCTGCAAGCGAGGGAAGCGCTGCCGCTTCCGGCACCCCGACATCAGCGAGGTCACCAACCTGGGCGTGCGCAAGAACGAGTTCATCTTCTGCCACGACTTCCAGAACAAGGAGTGCGTCCGTCTCAACTGCCGCTTCATCCACGGCACCAAGGAGGACGAGGACTGCTACAAGAAGACGGGGGAGCTGCCCCCGCGCCTGCGGCAGAAGGTGGCCGCCGGGCTGGGCCTCTCGCCCGCTGACTTGCCCAACAGCAAGGAGGAGGTGCCCATCTGCAGGGACTTCTTGAAGGGCGACTGCCAGCGGGGCGCCAAGTGCAAGTTCCAGCACCTGCAGCGGGACTACGAGTACGATGCGCGAGGCCTGGCCGCCCGCGAGCAGGGCATCGTCCCCGCCGTCCGCCGCTACGACGACCACGACCCCGTGCTGAAGCGGCGGCGGGTGGACGGGCTGCACTTCGAGACCTACGAGTACAGCTTCGCCAGCCCGCGGACGGTGGAGTACCGGCTGCTGGAGGAGGAGAACATCATGCTGCGCAAGCGGGTGGAGGATCTCAAGAAGCAGGTGAACAACCTGCTGGCCACCAACGAGGTGCTGCTGGAGCAGAACGCCCAGTTCCGCAACCAGGCCAAGGTGATGACGCTGAGCTCCACCGCCACCGCCACCGAGCAGACTCTGGCCCCCACCGTGGGCACCGTCACCAACTACAACCACAGCATCGCCCAGACGCACACCACGCTCAGCAGCCAGGCCCTCCAGCCCCGCCCCGTCTCCCAACAGGATTTGGTGGCTCCCGCCGGGGCCCAGGCGGCTCCCCCCGCCAACGCCGCTCCCCCCATGAACCCCGAAATCACCCCGCTTTCCGCCGCCCTGGCCCAGACCATCGCGCAGGGCATGGCCCCCCCGGTCTCCATGGCGCCGGTGGCCGTGTCGGTGGCGCCGGTGGCCGTCTCCATGGCCCCGCCGCTGGGGGGGGTCACCCTGAGGCCCCGCCCCCACCC